CAACAGCTGCAAGATGATGCAAAGAAGAACAATAGAAGATTGATAGGGATAAATGAAAAAGAAGGGGACAATATAAAGGATGTCAAGAGGACATTCAGAGCAGTAATAGCTGAAAATTTCCCACACATGAGAATGGAAACTGACATTAGGATCAGAAAGGCATACAGAACTCCAAATAGCCATAACCAAAATAAAACTACACGCAGACATATAATAATCACCATCCCAGAAATCCACCATAAGAATAGAATATTAAAAGCTGTCAGAGAGAAAAGACAGATCACCTATAAAGGAAAACCTATCAGAATCACAGCAGATGTCTCAGCACAAACAATGAAGTCAAGAAGAGCATGGAGTGAAGTCTTTCAGATCCTAAAGAAAAAGGATTCACAACCTAGACTACTGTTCCCTGCAAAACTGTCCTTCAAAACTGATGGAGAAATAAGATACTTCCATGACAAAGAACAGCTGAACAACTTCATGAGCACCAAGCCAACCTTGCAAAGAATACTGAAAGACAGTTTAGATACACTTAGGAAAAAACCACTAAGCAAAGACAATTAAACAGAACAGAAAGATAGAGATGCAAAAAAAGATAACATGTCAGCAATAAACCAATGTATAACAGTTATAACCATTAACATAAATGGTCTCAGTTCACCAAGTAAAAGAAGTAGACTGTCAGAATCGATCAAGAAACAACATCCAACCATATACTGTTTACAAGAAACCCATCTAACCCAAAAGGAAATCCACAGACTGAAAGTCAAAGGATGCAAAACAATACTTCATGCAACAGGAACCCAAAAAACGCAGGGGTAGCTCTTCTGTTTGCAGACAATGTGAACTTCAAACCACGAATGATCAGAAGAGATAAAAAAGGTCTTTACATATTGGTTAGGGGAAAACTTCAAGAAGAGATAACAATCTTAAATATATATGCACCAAATTCCAGAGCACCCCAGTTATATAAAGCAAGTATTAACAGAAATGGAAAATCAAATAAGCAATAACACAATTATAACAGGAGACCTTAACACACCATTGACACCAAGGGACAGATCAACAAGACAGAAAAATCAGCAAAGAAATAACAGAACTGAATCACACCTGTGAATAAATGGACTTTATAGACATATACCAAGTGTTCCATCCAACAATATCAGAATACACGTTCTTCTCAGCAGTACATGGGACATTCTCTAAAATAGACCATATACTAGCCCGCAGAACATATTTAAATAAATGCAAAAGAGCTGAAATTATCCCATGCATGTTATGAGATCATAGTGCCATGAAATGAGAAACTAATGAAAAAGATACTGCAAAAATCCCACAAACGCATGGAAACTGAATAACACACTCTTGAGTAATCAGTGGGTAACAGGGGAAATTACAGAAGAAATTAAACAATACCTACAAACAAACAAAAATTCAAATACAACTTACTGGAATCTGTGGGATGCAATGAAAGCTGTCCTCAGAGGAAAATTTATTGAACTGAGTTCCCACATCAGGAAAACAAAATGAATACAAATAAATAACCTGGTGCTACACCTCAAACAGCTAGAAAAAGAAGAGCAAGTCAAGCCCAAAGCCAAAAGAAGGGAGGAAATTATAAAAATCACAGTAGAAAATAATGCAACAGAGACTAAGAAAACAATCCAAAGAATCAAAGAGTTGGTTCTTTGAAAGAATAAATAAAATTGGTAAGTGTTTGGCCAACCTTATTTTAAAAAGAAAAGAAAAAGCTCAAATCTATGCAATAAGGAATGAAAAAAGTGAAATCACTACAGACTCTACAGAAATACAGAAGATTATCAACACCTATTTTGAAATCCTCTGCTTTCATTCGTTTGAAAACACAGCAGAAATAGACAGATTCCTAGAAACATATGAAGTACCAAAGCTAGGTCAAAAGATGTAAAACTGCTGAATAAACCAATTTCTATTAATGAAATTGAAAATATAATTAAGTCCTTACCTACAAAGAAGAGCCCAAGCCCAGATGGATTCACTGAGGAATTCTACAAGAAATACAAAGAAAACATAATGCCGACACTCCTCAAACTCTTCAATGAAATCGAAAGGGAAGAAATCCTTCCTAAGTCATTCCTGGAAGCAAATATTACTCTACTACCAAAACCTGAGCAAGAACCAACTAAAAATCAGAACTACAGGCCAATCTTCCTAATGAACACAGATGCAAAAATCCTCAATAAAATATTGGCAAATAGGATCCAGCAAATCATAAAGAAGACTATACACCATGACCCAGTGGTTTTCATCCCAGGCATGCAAGGATGATTCAACATACATAAATCAATAAATGTAATCCACCATATCAATAAAGCCAAAAGTAAGAATCACATGATTATTTCTATAGATGCAGAAAAAGCTTTCAATAAGGTCCAACATTCGTTCGTTATAAGAACCTTAGTGAAAATTGGAATAGACAGTCTTTACCTCAATATGATAAAGGCCATCTATGACAAACCAACAGCCTGTATCATACCAAATGGCCAAATACTAAAGGCCTTTACCTTAAAATCAGGCAGAAGACAAGGATGTCCCTTATCACCGCTTCTATTTAATATAGTACTGGAAATACTAGGCAGAGCAATTGTAGAGAAATAAAAACAGTAAAGATAGGAAAAGAAGATAAATTATCATTGTTTGCAGATGATATGATACTCTATCTAGAAGACCCCAAAAACTCCATTGAAAGACTCCTAATTGTAATAAATAAATTCAACAACGTAGCTGAATACAAAATCAATACTCAAAAATCAATAGCATTCCTATACACTAACAACAAAATATCAGAGAGACAAATAAGAGAAGCCACACCCTTCACACCAGCAACCCAAAAAATGAAATATTTATGAATTATTCTCACAAAAGAAGTGTAAGATCTATACAGGGAAAATTGTAATACACTGAAAATAATCATAATGTCTTATGCATGTACCAATATACCAAAATGAATCTCATTCTGTGTTAGTAATACAGTAAGTCCTCATCTTACAAATATTCGAGTTGCAAACTTTCAGTGTGCTCTATAAAGACTTACTTTGTTGGCTCATGGATGAATTTGACTTATGAACAATTTTCCCAGAATGGAACAGGGACTTACTGTGTCTACTAATTAAAAAAGAAATGCACTTACTCCTGGAAAAGACATGTTTTAAGTTCCATCATAATAAAGAGCTAAAGACCTAGCAGATCTACTTTCTTCCTACTGAGGGGAACCATGGGTCTGACTGACAAGAGGGGTAAGTATCTGGATGGGAGGCAGGCACAACTGTGGGTCTGGTGAAAATTAGTCTAAAAATAGACTCATTCTGACCTTTCACCTCCCTACTGTCCCCAACCTTGGCAAGTATTTGAATCTTTCCCAAATGCCTAGCATTAATTTTTATCCAACTCTGGGCTTCTAGCCTAAAGGATCTGGGCTTCTAGATCCTTCTGGGAATCCTTGAGAAAGAGAAAGAGAGTGGAAGTTAACTGACAAGGCCACGGGGTGCATATTGGTCAGGAATGTAGGGGCTGACCCAGTAAACTGGGCAAAGAGATTACAAGGTTGCTGTCTATGGCCCTCAGTGAGGAACAGGAATTAGAGAAAACCTTGCAACATCCCTCTGAGCCACAGCCATAGCCATCCTTGGAGGGTTGTATACCCCATGGCAGGGATCAAGAGCTGTGACTGTAGATGAGGACTACAGACAGTTGTAAGGGGAAGCAAAAGAGGCCAAAGTCCTGGATCCTATAGAGCTTTGAGGTTCAGTCTCTAAGTTCTTCATGCTGACAAAGTGTAAGCCTGAGTCCTATGGGAAGGACAGTGAAGGAGTGGCCTTGTTGTTGCTGTTGTCCTTGCCATCATGGGGTCCTGACAGTTGCAGGGACAGAAATATCTCTAATTTGATGAGCAGTCACACAAGGCAAAGGAAGCTGCTTAGATCATGGACTTAGTGATTGGAGAGAAGCAAGAGGTGGGGCAAGGGGAAGGGGGAGTTACTCTAGGTGCAGATGATATGGAAGTCAATTGCCTGTTCCCTCCAATTGTAATTTACTGTCCTGTCAGGAGATCCTTCCCTACTTGGTACCTTCTCTAGCAAAAAGTAGAGTTTAAATCTCACATATATGCCTATTTATGATTTATTACATTCAGCTCCTGGCTGCTTTCCCAAATCTTCTGGAGATTATCTCCTGCCATGCATATTATGTGGGATAATCAGTGTTTCTGATATTTATCAGTTTCAAGAATCCAAAGTCCCATGTGTGTGTGGGGGGGGTGGAGTCTAGAGAAGGGGTATTCTTTCTATATCCTTGGTTTTTATGTGGCCTGGAATATCTGATCAATAATATATACAGAGACTGGAATATGATACAAACTTTTTCTTTCAGAAGTATATATGCTTTGAACCCTTCTATTTCTGTCCCCCATTATGATTCACCTTTAAGGCCTCCAAGTCCATGTTGAACCCAGCCCTCCAGTTCAAGAGTTCACAAGGCCAAAACCAGGTAGTTTCCCCCCTTAAATTCTCCCACCTATAATATCATCAGAATCCCTTACTCCCACCCTGTTCTAGCACCAATAGCCTGATAATCTTCTAGCCGCTAATCTTATAACCATTAATCTGCTTTCTAAGTTGGCACCTGAGCTGTTTATAGCAGCATTTCATCCCCTCCTCCTCCAAACTCTGTTCATCTCTGACTCCCACCCATCTAAACACTCTGAGGACCGTGAATATAAGAGGCTGGGGAGGCAAGAACAGCAACCAGAGCTGGAGGCTGATGTGAACTTCACCTCTCTTCCAGGTAATATTTCAAGGGCTACTTCCTCTAGCCCATTTTAATCCCCACACATCTTGCTCTTAGCATCTGCTTAATATGTTGGGGGGATGTTGAGAGGCATATTTCCTGACATAGCAGCAGGAATTCAGGTAGAGAGACCTAGAAGCTCTTCTAAGATCATCCTTCAACTAGGCCTAGTATACCTCATAGGAAAGCACTCGAAAGACATCTTCCTCCTTCTAAGGTTCCACAGCATTTGGCGAGATGTCAAGATAAAGGTGTAGATCTGAAAAAGTTAATGAGAAAGGATGAGTAAGTTTAAGAAAGGTTTTCAACTTCCATAGAGGTTTTCACAATCAGCACCACAAAAATGAAGGTAGCAGCCCCTTCTCTCCTACACTTTCTCTCCTCGCCCCTTTTTCTTTCTGCTTAGCTGAAGGTCAAGGTCATCACGAAGTGCACTCAGGGTTCCAGTCTATTACAGGAGCACAAATTAATTCATTTGTTCATCTTGATTTATGTATATTACAAACATGTCTTGGCACCTACTGCATGCCAGGTGATTTCCAGCCTTGTCTAGCCCAAGAAACACATTTTCCTCACACTTTTCCAGACAAGTTCATTCTCTATGTAATCTCTCAACAGTGCTCCAGTCATTCCACAAAGTCCATACTTCTTTAGAGAATAGATAATATAGTTTATCATAACTTGTACAAGATAGATAAGAGGATTTCCCCTTGTCTGGGATAGTTAAAAGCTTAGCTGAAGAAGCAACTTTGGTACGAGGGAGAATGGGAAACCTTTGATGGTTGTGAGATATCTGTATAACAAGGGGAAGTCCATCACACTAGGTGAGTTTGGATGGTATACTGCAGACAAGTTAGGAGAATAGGAAACAAATGACACAGCTTTATTCTTTGTCACTCAGCTCAAAAAAAAAAAAAAAAAAGGCTCAGCATTGATTCCATGGCCAACATCTCCAAGTAAGTAGGAGCTACTTCTAATACTCTGAAACTGTGAACTGCGTTCTACCCAAACTCTAGTATTTACCTTTGGGGCCAAGGGATTTCAAACCTCCTACCAACTTGTGGCTTTAAACTCTACCCTGATTGCCTCTACCTTTTCTCCACACATGCTCTTGTAGCCAGTTCTAACCCTGGGAATATTTCCTTTTCTCCACACTTTCTCTTCTTTTCTCTTACTTCCTTTCCTTTGTCTTCCTCTCCCAATCTCCCCTCCCTCTTTCTGGCTTTCTCCCCAAAGGGTGTTTAAGAAGACCAGTTCCAATGGGAAGGTAAGAGAACGTGGCCCAGCTGGGTAAATGAGAGGGTGAAAGGGAAACGTGGGCACATTCTTTAAGGTTTTAGGGGTTTGGTTTGGAAGTTTCATGAGATTCATTACAAAAATGATTATGAGACTGACATGGGAGATTGTTCCACCACAGTTCTCAATCTACCTATGGAAACGTGACTTTATGGATCACATGGACACAGTGGAACCCCATTGATCAGTGAGTGCAAGACCCTAGAAGGAAATGAAAACCAGGGAGTAAAAGAATACCCAGAGGAACCATGTAGAAAAAGGAGGCCAGTTGAAGGGAAGAGAGGGAAAGACTATTTCAGAGATCATCCTTTGTTTCACTTTCTGACCAAAGTGCCATCTCTCCCTCTTTCTGCAGATGGTGTGATCCTGGTTGACCTTGATTACTTAAAAGGTCGAAAGAGTAAGTGGAAAACCTTACTAGACTCTGCTATTTCACGGGTTTCAAACTGAAATGTCATATGTCAGACAGGCAATCTGAAACAGTGGATTAGGACAGAAGTATAGAAGGAAAAAAGAAAGTGGCAGAACTGTGAATGCCTTGTGCAGTGGAGGGTGAAAACTAAGAAATCCAGCTCAATATAGCCAAACTTTTTGATTTTTCAATAAGAACTGGAGGGTTGAGGATGTAGCTCAGTGATAGAACACTTGTCTGGCATGCACGAGGGCCAGGGTTTCATCTCCAGTACTGAAAAATTAGAAAGTGATGGAAATGAAACTCAGAATAAAACCTTTAAACACTCAAAGTCAGAAAAGATCGTGGTGCTACTTCCCCCAAAAATGTATATATCTAAAGCATAAATAAAAAAAATTTATCTATCAAAATTATACAAAACTTACATGTGTTCTGAAATTAGTATGTTCATGACAGGGTTGTAATTGTCTCACTGCAAGGCAACTTGAACCACCAGGGTGATACATGCATGACTGTTCCATCAAGTGGCTTTTTAATAATTTTGTTAGTAAAAATAACAATAAAAGTGACTAGATCTCTTTGTACTGCCAGTGTTACAAGCCACCTAATAGGACAGTTATATATGTCCTACTGGTGGTTCAAGCCATCAGGAATATACTAAAATAAATTCTTTCTAAAATTTCTGATTGTTTCCATTATTGGTGGTGGTGTCCGCTTGGTTATTGATCAATGAGTTTAGACTGTTTGTGGAATGATCTAGTATATCAGAGATATATATTTTCATGCAAATTTCCTGATTTTCAAATGTTGGCAACAGATTAAAAGATTTTTAATAGCCTGAATAGATTAAAATACTTTTTTTCTGTAGGCTAAATGTGACCCTCAGGCTGCCATTTTGCAACCTCTGATACGTCTTTCCAGCTCTATTTTTTGTGTAGGGAAACTGCCTAACCTTTCCTTAAAAATGGGGGAGGGGAGAGAGACAGAGACAGAGACAGAGAGAGAAAGAGAGAGAGAGAAGAGGAGAGAAATAACCACAGGAAACAACAGTAAGAAATACTACTTTGGCAGCAATACTATAGATCAAGATTATACTGAAATATTTTTCATTGCCTTTTTTTCTTGTAATTCTCACTATGGATTAGCCCCACTGGGAGCCAACTAAACTGAAAATTGGATTTGATTTGGAAAAGGTTCAGAACAAGTTGATGAACACTTGTTCAGATGTAACCTTTGGATACTGAGGCTTAAAGTAGCCTTGATCTCTCAAATGGAGCAGAGTGGATAAGCAATCTAGCAGGTTTTAAATATCAAAAGACATTTAAGGTTCATATAGTCACGAATTAACCAGTTTCCTTAAGGTTCTCAAGAACTTTATATTTCTAAAACCTAAATCAGTTTTCCATGTTTCTAATACCTAAATCAGTTTTTTTGCATTTCTACAAAATCTTTGGAATAACCCATGGAAATGAATCTTTAGTTTTAAATAATTAAATAATTTTAAGGAAAATGTTAGTTAACTAGGTGTAGTGGCACACACCTGTGACCTGACTACTTCAGCAGACACAGACAGGGGGATGGAAGGTTTGAGCCCAGCCTAGACAGAAATTCAACTCAAAAAGGAAATGAGAAAAATGGCATCAATATCTAAAGTGGCCTTGTGTTCAGTTATAGAAACAAAACAACCTTGGGCATATACACAGGAGATATTAATAGCAGTTATCTCTAGAATATGATGTGTTATGGTAGAGGTTTGTTTTCTGTTTTTGGTTGTATTTTCTGATATTTGCAACATTAAAATATATTAGTTGCATACTAAAACAAATATAAATAACACTAGAATAGACGTTGACTTTTTTCTTTTTTATTTAAAAAAACAAAATAGAAAAAAGTTAGAATAGAATTAAAAAAAGAAAAATTAACACTAAGAAATCGCTAATTGATATATCACACATGGTCGTCTTAAAAAATTTGTTCAAGTTACAAAATCAAAGCATAAAAAGTACATAGACACTCAAACACTGACAGTGCAAATCATTCTGTTCAATGATGCAATGAAAACTTAGTAATATGGTTATCTATTTTACACACTTACAGTTATATCCGTTAGAGCACTTTCCTTCCTTTCATTTTTACAATATCTATTATACATTTTGGATCTTATTACTTTTTCAGTTTTTATTATTTTTTACACTAGAGACACAATGTGATATTTACTAATGTGAGTCTTGTTTATTTCACTTAGGTAGTCTCAAGTTGCCTCCATTTACCTATAAAGGCCTAAAGATCATCCTTTTTTATACCTGAGTAGTATTCCATTGTATAAAAATACCACATCTTTTTCATCCACTTTGCGGTTGATGGGCATTTTGGTTGTTTCCAAGACTTAGCTATTACAAATTGTGCTGCTATAAACATGAGTGTACAAAAAAAATAAACATGGGTGTACATATATGACTATGACATGAATTTTTCAATTTTTATGGGAAAATACCCAGGAGGGGAATAGCTGAATTGAATGGAACTTCCAATCCTAGTTTGTTGAAGAATCTCCATATTGATTTCCATGGTGGCTGCACCAGTCTACACTCCCAGCAACAGTGGAGAAATGTTCCTTTTTCCCAGATGTTGGCTATTAAAAGAATATAAACACCAGCTAGCTGGGCATGGTGGTGCATGCTTGTAATCTCAGCACTCTGGGAAGCTGAAGCAGGAAGACTGCAAGTTTGAGCCCCACCTGGCAATTTTAGTGATTTAATGAGACCCTATCTCAAAATTTAAAAAATTGGTGATGTAGCTCAGTTTTGAAGGCCCTGTTTCAAACCCTGGTACCACAAAAATAATTAGTAAAAATCAAGCTATATCCTAGCACCAATAAAGATGATTCTAAGCTGCTAAAGAGCCAGTGAGCATTTACATGACAGCTGAGGACTTATTTTACAGCCCTCCCTACACAAGCAGACAAAGTGAGTAAGAGTAATTCATCTGGTTAGCACCCTCACCTCTTGGGCCACAAGACTTTCTTCTGCCTTACCCTGTGAACTCTTCCTGTCTCATTCCACATTTCTTTCATTTCCTTCCTTCTTCCAGCCACCGATTTTTGTTGGTGCTGATGATGGAATGTAGGGCCTCTTGCATGCTAGCCATATGCTCTGTCACCGAGCTACATCCCCATACCCACAGCCACCTCTTGTCCATCTCTTTCTCGTCTTTCCCTTTCCTTTTCCTTTTCTTTCTCTTGCCCTTCTTTCACTTTAATTGACCATATTTGAGAAACAAGGTGAATTTATTTGTCGTATCTTCTGTAAATTGTCTTCACTATAGAAAAATTAGAAAATACAGGCAGCGCTCACTTCAGCAACACATATACTAAAATTGGAAAACACAGATAAAGGAGAAAGAGACTGTAATCCTATCATCTTCATTCATGATAATCACTATTGATATTATAGTTCTTATTTATCACATTTTCTGTTCAAATTGCATATATTTTTATTAAAGATATTATACTGTAAATAATATTTCATAACCTTTTAAACCTACATCAATATGTAAAAATCTGCAGGATATGGTACAAATGCCTGTAGTTCCAGTATTTTAGGAGGCTGAGGCTGAGGGATCACAAGTTCAAGCCCAGCCTGGGCAACTTAGCGATTTAGTGAGATACTGTCTCAAAATGAAAAAAATGTTTTAAAAAGTTTGGGGGTATAGTTCAGTGCGAAAATCTAGGGTTCAATCCTCAGTATGAAAGAAAGAAAGAAAGAAAGAAAGGAAGAAAGGAAGGAAGGAAGGAAGGAAGAAAGAAAGAAAGAAAGAAAGAGAGAAAGAAAAACTGTGTTTACAATTTTCAATTGCTGGACATTCATTTTGTTTTCATTTTTCATGAAAACTGTTATGAACAACTTCATAAGGCACATCCTAACATATGTGTATTATCCCTTAATTCCTTCAGTCTAAATGCTCAGAAACTGAATTAATACTCAAAAGGCATCATACATTTTAAGCTTATTTGGCTACCAAAAGGTTTGTATCAATTAACTCTCCCTCTTGCAGTATACCAGGTTGCCTGTCATTCCAATCCTTATAAATAAAAGTTATCATTACTTTCAATCTGTTACATTTTAATATAGATTCATTTTCCTTATTCTTAATTTTAAAAGCAGATATGACATTCAGTATATTGATCTTTAAAAAATACTACAATAACTTGCTTTCTACTCAGGTGTAGTTACTGGTAATTTTCTTTCACTTGGGAGGGACCTGGATAAAATAAAAATACTCACCACTGTTTCACATCTTTCATTGCTTCATTTTCTGTCACTTGGCCTTGGGAGCATATTTATTTAACTCACCCTACCTCAATTAATGAATTTCAGAGGCTTTCTATCTGACTCTAATCTTAAATACTGGCTACAAAGTACAAGTTCATAACTGTTCAATTGCTGACAAGATTCCTGTCATTGTCACCATCATCATCATCATCCATATCTACAATCACTGTACAGTTACCAAAGGAATTTCTTATAACTGTACAACAATTGTTCACAAGTATTCTGATTGAAATGAAGCTGGGCATCCTTGAATCTAAGCTTTGGGGGTCAGGCAGATGTGTGTTGTAATCCTTAACTGCTTCTGGGTTCATTTAACATACCATCAAAGTGCTAATAATAATAGAGGATTGTTGTGAAATCTAAATAACATAAAGCTTCTAGTACAGCTGCTGTTGACAAGCAGAATAACTGAGGCCCAGAGAATTCAAAGAATTTGTAAAAGTCTTATTCAAGCCCAGGTATTCTGACCCTAAATCTTTAATTAATTAAGTTATAGTTAGTTTGCTGGAATGGGAATTTAATGTAGAGCTTTTCACTGAGCTACATCTCCATCATTTTGCAGGGGGTATGAGACAATGTCTCATTTTGCAACACAGGTAGGCAATCGAATTTATGGCAATCCTCCTGCTTCAGGCTCCCAAGTGTTGAGATTACAGGCAGAAGCCACCACAGCAGGCTCCCTTAGTGCTTTTAATATTTTATTTTGAGGCAGGGTGTCACTAAGTTGCTAAATTGCCCAGGTTGGGCTTAGAACTTGTGATTCTCCTGCCTTGGTCTCTTAGAGAGCTGGGATTATAGGCATGCACTACCATGCTTAGCTTTGGACCCTAAATATTATTTTTTAAATTATAAAAAATGACACAGAGAACTATATAATGAGTATCTGTACCCATTTTTTTGCTTTTGAAGAGTACAGAATTCAACTGAAGCTAGCCTCCTGTGTGCCCTTCCCTAAACTTATCTTCCTTTCTCCTTCCTTCATCTTTCTTTCCCCACACCAGGTAAACACTAACCCCAATTTGGTGTGTATTATTCCCATGATGTTTCTACATTGCTTTTCTATACATACGTATCTGTGAACAACTTTAATGTTTCTCTGCATACATGGTTTTAAACTCTATGTAAATAGTAATATACGGTGTATATAATTCTGGTGCTAGTGCTTTTTTATACTCTATACTCAAAAACTTTATAACCATGTCAATACACATCTTAGTCCATTTGTGTTATAACAAAGTACTTAAGCCTGTGTAATTTCTAAAGAACAGAAATTTATTTCTCAGAGTTATGGAGGCTGAGAAGTCCAAGATCAAGGCAACCAGCAGATTCAACTGCCTGGTGACAGCCTCTGTATGCTTTGAAGATGGTGCCTTATTGCTGCCTCTACCAGAGGGGAGGAGCATTGTGTCTGTTCTCACATGGCAGGAGGTGGATCATCAAGAAGGTCAAATGTTGCATGAAGCTTCTTTCATAAGGACCTTAATTCCATTCACAAGGGAAAAAAATCCTCATAACCAATCACCTCTTAAACTATAGCTATTTTGATACCATCCCAACAGCTATCTTAATAGCTATCTAAATTTTGGAGGCACTACATGAAGCTCTAATTTATTTTAACTTCTGTTTCATATTCAATTGTAATAGTCTATAAATTTATTACCCATTCTGTTGATAAATATTTACATCATTTTGCATTTTATGTTCTGGAAAACATTGAAGTTATGGGCAGTCTACTATGTATTTCCTTTAAATGTGAGAACGAGCTACTCTAATGTAGTAGAATTCTTAAAGTAGGAGCAGATTCGATTTTACTGGATATTGCCAATTTTCCAAAGTGGCTGAGTTATTGTGTACGCTCACCAATAGTACATAAGAACTATAATTGCTCCACATACTCATGAATACTCAGCATTCAGATATCATAATTATAGACAATTTGATGGATATGAAATGTTATCTCATTGTGGTTTTAATTTCCATTTACTTGATTACTAGTGAGACTGACTACATATTTTCATGTTACTGGCTATTCTACTTTATCCTTTTGCAAAGATCTTATTCACATTCTTTGAACATTTTTACATTAGTAATAGTAATTAGTGTATTTAATTATTATAACACTTTATTTAAATATTTATATTATTAGAATTACTAGTTTATTATTATTGATACTTCTTTACTTCAGATGCTAAACTTTTGTCTGCTATACATGTTGCAAATATTTTCTCTCTGGATTTCTTTTCTTTCTTTTTAAAACTTTTAATATAAAGGAATTTAAACTTTTACTGTTAGTCAAATTTATTGTTATTTTTCTTAATTATCATACCATTACAGTGTATTACATTGCCTCTCTTTGTCTTCCTATGACCCACTTAAGATTTCCCCTTTCCATTCAAGGGTGACAGGTCATTCTCTTCTTCCTTTGCCTATAGTGTTTGTCATGTTGATATGTGCTTTTTGCTATGGCCATGATGACTTGGATGTTATTGGTCTAACATTCTACAAAGATATGCTATGTACAGACTCTGCAAGCGGTTCCAGTTGAGTCCAACAGCCTCCAGGTGCCTCTCACAGTCTTACAGGAGCGACTGCTGTACAAGCTGGGAGACAATGCCTACCCCTTTACCCTGCAAGTACTGACCCAAGTCCTGGGCAAGGTTTCCAGGGAAGATTAAAAGAAAAAGCTAAAGAAGAACAGAAGAGAGGAGTCCTTTTTCTTCTTTCACTGACCTCATTTTGGTTCCCTAGATGGTTGCCAAACTACATTGTTCAGTGACACTGCAGCCAGGTCCCAAAGGTGAGGTCTGGGTTCTGAGAAAAAGGACATGATGGTCTGCTTTCTAGCACTGTAACAAAATACTTGAGATAATCAATTTAAAAAGAGAAAAGATTTATTCTGGCTCACAGATTCACAGGTTTCAGTACATGGTCATGTGGCCTAGCTGCTTTGATGATGGGAGCATGTGGTAGAGGAGGCCTATTTATGTCATGGTGGCCAGGAAACAAACAAACAAAAAAAAAAAAAAAAAAAAAAAAACAACAGAAAGGGAGTAGAGTCCCAATCATACCTCTTTGGAGAGTACAAACTTCCTCCAACCAGAACCAACCTCTTCAATGTTCCACCACCTCCAAATAGTGCCATAGCCTGGCAACCAACCCATTGACACATGGACCTTTGGGGGTCATTTCAGATGGAATCTATGGCAGAATGGCAAACAAGTAGTGCCAGGGAAGCACAGAGGTACAGACAGACAAGACTAGAGAAACAGACAGCTAAGGGATGAGTCTATGCATTTTCAGATAGCCCACAGAGAATGGATGAACAGCATTGGAAATGAGTTCTCTTTGCCCTATCCTCTTTACAGGCTTGTGGGGTTGTCTTTGAAGTGAAGAGTTTCTGTGCTGAAAACCTGGAGGAGAAAATCTCTAAGAAGTATTCTTGGTTTCTGTGCTGAAAACCTGGAGGAGAAAATCTCTAAGAAGTATTCTCTAAGAAGTATTCTTGACTAGGAAGAACCTGCCGGCACCCTACAACTGGAAAACTAAGGGAGGACAGTTTGGTGACTGGGTTTGTAGTGATGTCAGTAAATCTACCTTGGGAATCGTTACAGTGATGTTGGCATTGAGCTGCCCCTGATCCTGATGCATCCAAAGCCATCTCACGGTGAGTCATCAGGCAGGACTCACAGGATCGATTGTCTTGAGGTTTGGAGACTGAGAGCCTCTGACCTTGTGACGTGAAGACTAAGTTTGGGTAGAGATGGTATGTCAGTAAGCAGGATGGGTGTATGGGGTTTTAGGTAGTTTGTGCAGGAGGGGAAGGATTCAAAAAGGGAAGGGAAAGAGTAAAAACTTTTCTTCAGAGAACTGAAGCCTTATCAGCTTAAACTCCACTTTTTCCTCCCTCCCTATGTCTGCTTCAGAGGCCGCTGGGTAAGGAAATAAGCTTGGGAGCCCTCATCACTACTCTGCATTTGATGGCAATAGAAATGTAGTCTTCCCCAGGCTATTGCTTTCCATATATGTGCAGAGGAAACATACAGTTTAGCTTTCTGTCACAACTAAGTTATTTTCATGTGTAGTCTTTTCCCTTTCAACACCCCCCACCCTCCACCCCTGCTCTTTTTGGAATCATCCTTTTCCTTCATACTTTCTATTTCCCCTTTCCCTTTCTTCTTTCATTCTCCCATCCCATCCTTCCATCCCACTCTCTGTTCTTCTCTTGTAGCATTCCTAGGGGACTTTTGTGTTGGGAGAGTTGAGAGGGAAAAAGTCAGAAACCAGTGTGGCCCATGGGGTGGGGTGGGGTTGGGGTGCAACTGAGAGGAGGCCTTGAGATTGAGCTGAGAAGCAGGGAAGGGATCTCTTCTCTGGGGGTCAGAAGAAGGTAATGAATGAGACTCCTAATCCTTCATTCTCCCCTGCTGGAAGCTCTGAGAACATAGTCATCGAGGAGTTTACCTGGCAGGAGCAAAGCAGGGCAAAGAGCCAGAAAACTTTGGCGGCGGAGGGTGATGAGGAGAGCTGAGGTGCCAAGATCTGCCGCCCCTCTGTATGGGAACCCTCACTGTAACGCTCTAATAAACGCTTTTGTTCAAATGTGCCTATGGCTTTCTTTGCTATTTCTTCACCTTGGAGAATACTGAGAATGAGCCTTCCTTTCCAATTTCCCCCTCCCCACCTCCGTGATTATATTACCTTTAGCAAGTACTTTTCCTCTGTGTGCGCTCAGACTTCCCTCTGGCACTGCTACTCGCTCGTCCTCCTTCTGTGCATCCTTCAGCTTTCTCTCTGGGTGTGGCCATCCCTGTCCCCACTCCACCACCCCACTCCTGGGATCACCCTACTGCCGCCACTGCTCCAAGCACCAACACTAGGTTGTGGCACTGCAATAGCCCCGGGAATGAAATAAGAGGGCCTGGCCATGCCTAGGCCTGGGTTTGATGTCCACTGAGACCAGAGAAACAGCAAGTGGCAAAGGGCCAAATGTGGGAAACTAGTTTTTCCTCCCTACTCTCATCTCAACCCTACCTGACTTACCTGTTGTAGCCTGTTTTTGCACCCCATGAGAGCTGGAACAGAGCAAGATAGGTTTTTGCCTGGAGACCACCATGAAACACCAATACCAGGCTCTGTGCTAGTCTAGATTGATATTCCGGGAGGGCAGAGCAGTCAGTGGGGACCTGGGTTAGGTTTTGGGGATAGGAAGGTTGAATGGTAGAATAGGAAGGGACCTTGTTCTGGAAACTGAGTTCCTCCTGAGAGTTTGGTGCACATGTGCTGCAGTTAGAGGTTCACAGAGACTGATGGGGAGAAATCAGTGGATTGTCCTACTTAGCTCCCTCTTGTACAGTGCTGAAGACATTCATCCACATCTGCTTCATCAAGGAGAGATTGAACTGTGCCTGCCAAGTGAGCACCACTAGTCACAATAGTTTTCCTACTTTCCTTGACCAGCTTACTTGGAAAGTTCTTCCTCAGTCATTCATTGGAAGTGCTAGGAAGTTGAGCCAGAGTAACCTCCTTAAGGGGCATGGTCTACTTCTTGTTCTAAAACTGCTTGGTATTGGAACTGTGTGTCTATCTGGTCACGGAGAGTATCTGACTCTTTTGCAGACAACTACTGAAATTAGCTTCCTGCCATGCACTTAGAGGGCCCAAACGTGTTAAAAGTTCATACCATTAACTCTATTCCTCAACCCCTTTTGATTTATTCTTAACAGGATAGCACTTTTCCAAAATGGCTTCCCTCAACTACCAAGCGCTGTGATGTTTCTGATTTTCTCTGCCCTTATTTATCTCAAACTGTAACATAAAGTCTAAGATCCAGCGACTCCTAAAATCTGCTGTTCTATGGGGTACTTCATTAATGACAAGTGTATCTTGGGTTTGATTTGACCTGTCCTATAACTGTAGGCCACTTGGTTTGGGGCAATAGCAGCCACTTTTCAGAGATCCAGTTTCCTTGATTTTTAGGTTCTAGTTTTGATTGACTGATTTTGGATACTAGAGATTAAACCTAGGGCCTTTTCACTAAGCTACATTCTTCCATCTATCTTTCTTTTAAAGACACAATCTCATTAAGTAGCTCAGGCTAACCTTGAACTTGTGATTCTCCTGTGTCAGCCTCTAAGAGTGCTCAAGTTCCAGATCTAGGTTCTAGCTCTTAAAGGCTAGTTTTTTTGCTATTTTTTCTCATCTTCCCCCTTAATATTTGTTTCATGCAAGTTTAGCTGCAGTTATGGGAAACAACCAGCCAAGAGTGATTTTGCAGCCTAATTCTGCAATTTAACTTACAGCCTAGTTACAATCGCGATTTAACTATTGCAGTGGTTGTCTATGATAGCACAAGTGAGTTATAGGATGTTCTATTTGACAAAGGGGCTACAAAGGAAGCAATAAAGATTGGTAAGTCTAAATTAGATAAAATTATTCTCTACAAACTTCCAAAAAACGTTTAATCTTTGCAACATATTCTCTTGCAGACATCATTGCTTTCAAGGAGATAGGTAAGTGGGTAACTGTATGGTCAAGATGCTACATTGTCATTATGTTGGTGGGTAACAAGACTGATCTAAACAACATAGGTCTAAGTACAATTCCTTCTGGCATACCTCAGATTCAATCACTATGGGGAAGGTTTACTAATGCTGTTTACTCAGAGAAGTTATCAGTGTCAGAAAGCAGAAAGTTTATGGGTTTAAGGCTTCAAGAATTCCTGACCCTAGGAAGCATCATTATACTTCACAAGTATCTACTCCTGTCTACTAATTTTGGTTACCATTTTCTGGGCCCTTCCATTGTTCTCATTTGTCCAGACAAGTCTACAGAACTACTCTGCTTAACTGATGATAGACAAGGTTTAAAATGGTTTGTTTTGTTGGCTCAAAAGACTTGAGAAGTCCTTAGACTTAAAAAGGAAATCCTCACTAAGAAGTTAAAGGCAAATGGAGGGCATACCCTTTTCCAGAGGACCATCTCTGGTTTTCCTAAAAATCAGGATGTGAAATAAAGAAAATTTTTTCCTTACAATAAAAGAATACAAGACATCAGTATGTTTACTGAGACCAGAACCCAAACTGGTAATAATGTGAAAAATATATTAATATTCATTGCTTTTTATAATGTTTCCATCACACTGTCTCTTCTACCCACCACTTTCTCTTTTGGATAACCTTCCCTTGTCCTACTGTAGGGTGGCCCCACCATGGAGCACAAAGTTCATCTTTCCACCTTGGAGCATAAAGATCTGAAATCATCTTAGCTTCAAATTCATTTTCATTTACTTGTCATCAATCACATGTGTATAGCTATTTCTGGTATACAGTTTCTGGCCTTTGTTCCAGAAGTAACTTCACCTCTGGTCCAAGAAGGGAATGCTCTTCCCAGCTTTGCTGGGGTAGGGAATACACAAGCAGAGAAAGGAGGGCTGGGGATTTAGCTCAGCTGCATAAGTGCCTGCCTTGCAAGCGTGTGGTTAAGAGTTCGATTCCTGGTAGTGATAAAAAAAAAAGACTCCCAGAGAACACAAACTTTTTTGTGGCGTTGATAGTCAGGCTAATTTTTCTGCTTCAGTGGAATTTAAGGGATGATGGGAGTAACTTAGCCCAAAGTAGCTCCTTTGTCTGTCTTTAGGTGAAGGGAATCAGTCAGAATTTCTTAGGCTTTTGCTAGAAATTGTCCCTGGGAATTGAGATTTGACTGTAGTTATATTATTGTATTACTTTCCTTAGCATACACTTCAGGGATTCAAATTTTACTTGGTGCCTTTTAAATACTTGGGCATCAAAAATATTGTTTCTATCAATAGATTATGCCATCTTTGCCTAATCTGATAGGTTTATATAATTTGGACCTTTGTTTTACCAGCCTTATCCCCACCCCCACTATAGGGTTTATATACTTGGCCACTTGCCCTCTTCTAGTTCCTGGGCACAGGAGTAAAACAGAACCCCTGAAAGTGGTACCATTTTTCTAGACTGCATCTTATAGCTTCTTTCAGTGTCTGGGAATTCTACCTTTCTTTCTCAAACAGTTGAAAGACATCTATGGGAGGTACACTTCTATGGCAGCTTGAAAACGTCAAAGGCCAATACATTTATTCTCTACAGTTTCCTTACATTCACCCTCAATAACTGCTCCTCAGACAACCTGTTCGGGACCAGTCCTGTCTCTCTGGAACTATTCTTGCCCCTATTCCTTTTCTCCAATAAATTTTCCAACTCTTAACCTCTGTTGTTCCTTAGAATTACCCACATTTTACCTGCCTCATGATTTTGCACTATAAAACTTCCTGTGAGAAGTGGCTCATTGGCAACCCATTTGGGACCCTTTCTTTCTCTTAGTACCTGTTCTTATTTCCCATTCTCCCATTCCTATTCCTCATTCCTTTTATCCAATAAATTTTCCTACTCTTAAAAGAAACTTAACTGCTCCTTTGACCTCAGCCTGTTAGGCTTATACCCTCTTCACACAATTTCTATACTTCTACAATGCAATTGCCTCATGTTCATGCCCCAACACAGAACCATTTCAAGTACCTAAAAATGAGACTCCTCCATTTTCTTAACCATGTTTACCACATTTCTTAGATGAGTTTTCTTAATTTGTTCATCACAGTGAAAGTCTTGGACCTCAACACTGGTGAATTCAAGCCAGTATTTTTGTTAAGCCTTTATTTTTTCAAATGACCACCAGGGGTCAGTAGAGCAAATAAGGCCAGCATAAAAGTGTTTCCCAAGAAACAGAGATGGAAATTTACTTCTAGCTCTGCTGGCAAGGGACAGTGTCCACTTAGCTAGCAGTGGTACTGAGCTTCTAGAAGAGGTACTTTAATAGAACTGTGGTAGGACATATGAGAAGAGTCAGAGTTTCCTTATAAAGATACATCAGTATTTTGAACAGTTTCCCCAGTGTTCAAAAAGACTGACTTTCCTTATTTATTTATCTATTTAATTTTGGGGGGGTACCAGGGATCCAACTCATGACCTTGTGCTTGCCAGGCAGGTGCTTACACCACTGAGTTAAACCCCTGGCCCCTTACATTGCTTATTTAAAAAATCAGATTTCTATGTTCTAGCTTAGGTCAACAGAATCACTCTCCAGGGAAAGGAACTACAAATACATTACTAAGCACCACAGGATTCTTTCAAGGCAAATTTGAGGTTTTCATAATAGTGGACTTTATCCCCTACTTCACTAAAAAACTTTATGTTCTTAATGGGTGTTTCGAATAAGCCAATGAAGATGTCATACGTATGACCCAGAACTGCTAATAACAGATTGGTAACTTGATATCTAACAACATGACAGAAAGGACTTTGCTGTGGGAACAGAACAAAAAGTGAAGCTCGTAGTTAGTCAACCTAGTTTATAAATTTGCACACAATTTCTAATTGCTGTCTCTGTAATGAAGTCCATTTAAACCTTGGTTTAAGTTCCAGATTAAAGAATCTAGGAAACAAGAATTATATTATTTCCCTACAGAGAAATGCCCAAGGGGCGGCTTGGTATGCGGTGGACCCAGGACGAGGACCTGCGCCGGACTCTGCTCCATACAGAGAACTAGTGGGAGACATCTTGGATTAGGGCAGATCTGCTGTTCTGGTGCTCCTGTCACAGAGAGGTCTGGAAGAGAACAGCTGGGATTTGGACAGAACCCTGTGCCATAGTGACATTAGTCAGCTGCTTCTGGTACAAAGAGAACTGGCAGGAGCTAGTGGGCCTAAACCAAGCCTCTGCTTGGGGCCCAATAAGCAGATACAAAATAGTCACAACTCAGTGACATCTAGAAAGTACAGCCTAATTTACGGACTGACTGGTGCACAGGCTGGAGACTAGCCTGTACCGCCCTTGCATCCCAGCCTACCCCAGATAACAGCAAAATGGGGAGGAAAGCAAAAACTCAAGTCAGCACGCTTCTGAAAGGCCCTAATCAATTCAGAGAGGGCCAGAGAACCCCAAGACAGTCTGAAAGAAACCATAAACATGACAAGAGATAAAAAAAAAAAAAAATCCCCAGCTGCCCAACATGAGAAAATAAGTCCAGGAGAAGTAAACACTGAAGAGAACAAGCACAGTAACCATCCATTGCTCAACACAGCATCAGCCAAAATTAAAAAGTACCTACATGATCTCATAGAAGAATTTAAAGCTGTACTCCTGATCCAAGTGAGGCAAGATATAAAGAGATTAAAGAAATGACAAGCCCCGCCCAAGAGAACACAGATGGAAGAACTGAGGAAATCAGAAAAGAAAGAGAAACTTCTGAAGAACTTAAACATAACTTAGAATACATGAAACAGATCCAAAGAGAATACCAGGAAACTAAAAACTCCATTGAACACTGGCAAAATGCCTTGACAGAAACTAAAGACAGCCTTCTGAAACTTGAAGAGAGATTTATGGCATATGATCGTGAAAGAAAAAGCCTCTTAACAAGGAACCAGAAAGAAGCAATTCAAAAACTGGAAGATGACAAAAAGATACATAACTTAAGAATAAAAAATGTGAGTGAGGAAGCAGGAGCAACCAAAAATGAAATACAAAAAATATTCACAGATATATTAAAGCAAAATTTCCCATGTATAGCAAAAAGAAATGATATCCAGATAAAAGAGGCATACAGAACACCAGCTACCTACAACCAAAACAGATCTACGCCTAGACATATAATAATCAAGATTCCAGAAATCCACCAAAAGAACAGAATATTAAAAGCAGCCAGAAAAAAGATGCAGATTACCTACAACGGGAAAACTATCAAAATAACAGCAGACATATCAACACAAACTCTTAAGTCAAGGAGTGGGGAGAAATATTCCAAGTCCTGAAAGAAAAAAATATGCAACCAAAGTTCATATACCCGTCAAAACTCTTTCTCAAAATTAATGAAGAAATAAGATACTTTCAAGCCAAGGAGGAACTGTGGGAGTTCGTGGCCACCAATCCAACCCTACAGAGAGTGCTGAAGGACATTACAGAGAAAGAGAGGAAGAGATACCAGGATTCCAGCAACAGTGGAAGAGAGGCCTCAGTGAACGGGGCAGACAGTGGAATGAGGGAATAAGGTGGACAAATTATAGCAGAAAAGTGGAGTAGCAGACATGAGGCAGAGACGGTAAGCTATAGTCTTTAGTATAGACAGCTCTGAAACTATATTAAAAAAAAGGCAGAGGTCATTGTTAATGGTGTATAAAAATTTAAAAGACACAGTAGTCCTACTGCCATATTTAGTTTGAATTTAATTTGTTCTGGTCTGTCCACTCATGTCAGATTTGAGGGCACAGACATCTTGACCCAAAAATAGCAGGTTATACCATGGTAACTATCCTTACTTTCCTATTAACTTAAACTGAAATCCTGTATTACTTACATTGTCTTACTATGACTGATCTTAATTGAATCTGAATCATAAGACTATGGGTTGGCCTTGGCTGATTTTATGTGAAATTGGTATGCTTGTTAGTATCAACCCTAAAAGTAGAGGCAACTACTCTGAGAATGACAAGAGGTAAAGGATATCCATACGGGTATTAATTAGTAACAGCTCTCAAATCCTATAATGCTCTCAAAGTTAAGTTTTTATAAAAATAGGTGATACTATATTTAACTATAATAAGCCAGTGTTGTGGTCAAATCTATTGAAAATAACAAGAGAAAACATAGTAACTACGGAAGATCATCTATATTGTGGTCTTATATGTCTTATCCATTGCATGTTTTTCTAGGAAATTGTTTTGCTGTCTTGCTATGACTTGGTATTCCCTATAATACAGAGAGGATAGATATATATGTAGAAATTCACACATGGGTTTTTTTAAAAATTATTTACAGGAACAGATTATATAATGCAAGATGTAAGGAACAGATACTCTGAGGAAGAGATGCTGAGAAACCCGAGGCTTATTTTGTAGCATTATAATATAAATTCTGGCAATCTATTGTTCGCTGATTAGAATGACATTGGACTGGTTTCTTGAGTTCAATTTCAGCATATGTAGAGATGGCGACAGCTATCACAAAGAGAATGAGAGATGTGATGGTAGTTACTATTGTCTTCCCTAATTTGGAACTTGAGGACCTAAAAAGCCTTCATCATCCTGTAATGATTTGATTAGTTCTATAATATGCAATAAGTATATAAAGTGGGTGAAGATAGGGACAACTATTTGTAAGAAACTAGAGACAGTTAGATAGACAATGAAGATCTCTAGTGGACTTGCTTTGAAATCTGTATTTCTTTAAATTGTTTTTTTTTTAAATGTTCTGTTCTGTTTTGATATGTTTAATCTTACCCTCTTTGAGATGTAAAACAAATGTGTAGGACTGATAACCATATTACTGAGCTTTTGTTCGATCATAGAACAGAACGGTTTGTAGTGTCACTTTTTGAATGTCATTCTAAATACTTTAATTCTATAACCTGAACAGCTATTTCTAAGATGACAATGTGTAACTTATCAACCAGCAATTTCTTACCGTTTGTTTTTCTGTAATTTTGTATTATTTCTACCCTTTTTTTATCTCCATGTATTTGTTTCCTTTTCTTTAAATAAAAAAAAATTAAAAAAATTTAAAAAAAAGAAATGCCCAAAGCTCCTAGGAGAATGGGTACTGTTTTATCCAGTACTCTTCACCCTATGCCATTCTTTGGTTACACTATGGCTAAGGTTCTGCAGTCTCTCCAACGTTCTGGCCAGGCATAGACAGGCACTGTCTCAGTTACTTTTCTCTTGTTCTTGAGACAAAATACCCAAAGCCCAAAGTTAAAAGGAAGAAAGGTTTATTTAGCTCACAGTTTGTAAAGGTTTCAGTCCACAATTGGCAGGCTCCGAAGCAGGGTGGTACATGGCAGACTGGCAACAGTTTATGGTAGCAGAAGACAGGAAAAGCAACAAAAAAGGGGCCTATCTATGGAAGTCAGAGGTTAGCAAAGCCACAAGGGAGCGAAGGACAAGCCTCTCTTGGTCCCTTACACTGTATGTAGTTTACCCACTTTAGGCTAGATGTAATATTCACACCCTTAATCCTAACCAGAACTATGCCAAACCAATCAGTGGACTGATTTACTAATCACATACCCTTAATCCCAGCATCACATACTAGATTTAGCCACTGCTGAAAAGGTCCTATAACCACACGAGGATTTTGGGGGACACCTAGACACAAATTACAATATTCTACCCCTGGCCCTCCATAGACTTATGTACATCCCTTTATGCAAAAGGCATTTAATTCCTCCAAGAGTTGCCAAAATCCTAACAATTTTAGAATTGCTGAAAAGTTTGAGTCCCAAGTATACTCTGAGGTTTAAGGCAAACTCTCAGCTGTGAGCCCCTGTACAAATGAAAAGTAAGTGAAACACTTCTAAATTCAATGGCACAAAACAGACATTTCCATTCCAAAAGTTATAAATAGGAGACTACAAGGAATGAGGCCAAAACAAATTCAAAATGCAGCAGGGTAAACATTAAATCCCAGTTTCACTTCCAGCATTCCAGGCAATCTGTGAGCTCCAAAGGGCTTGTGTGGCTCTGCCTCTACAATACTTCCAGTGGTACCCCAAGGCTTATCACTGTGACCACCTCTGCTCCCTCCTTGTAATTTTTCTCAGACAATCCATGTTCCTGGTTCTCTAAACTTCTGGGGTCTCCAATGAACCCTTGGCTTGCCACTCACAGCTTCACATACTGCCTTCTCAGGGGCACACTGCCTGGCCTCCCAGGCCTTCTTCTGAAATGTAAGTGGAAGCATTCTTGACCCCACAATTCTTTCATACTGCACGTACGTAAAATCAGTATCATGTGGATGATGCCAAGGTCTGCCGTCAGCTGGAATAGAAGCCAGGATCCCTTTTCTCTTGGCTGTAGGCGTTGAGTGCCTATGAACCAAATCCCAAAGAATGACTTCCCTAGACCACTGCAATTTTAGAACATGGTGCTCTGGGCCCTCTTCTCAAAGCAAAGTATTTCACATTTACAATTTTGAGGCTGCACAGGGTAGAGTTCTGTTGCTTCTTGTGATGCCATCACATCATCTTTTTATTCTATTTCTTCTGAGCAATCAAGATCTCCCTTATTCTTATCTTTACAGCTTCACTGGCACTTTTTCTGGCCAAATTCAATGCTGCAAATCATTGTGCTGGCCACTTTGCTCTTGATTCTGAACACTGATCTAACTAAAAGCCCCCCAAAGTAGCCATATGATCACCTCAACATTTGGCTGCCTTGAAATTACTTCTGCCAGAATAGTCCACTATCCTTATGTTTAGTTTCAGGAAGCTTCTGGACATGAGCAACATGCAGACAAACTTTCTGCCAAGCCATAACACACATCATCTGGAGTTCAAAGCCAAGGCAGTCCTTCACTGCAAAAGCTTCAAAGCCTGGTCTTTACTGGCAGGTTTCTATCAGCCTTGTGGTCTTCTGAGCTCTGACCAAAATCTCTCATACAGTAGTACACCCTAAGGCACTCCACAACTATCTTCTTTGATGGGTATCTCCAAACCATTCCAAACTTTCTCCACAAGCTGCTGCCAAAGACTCCTGAACCATATGGTCAGGTATAGTTACATTAAGGACCTCAATTCTCTGGTACCAAAATCTGTCTTAGTCACTTTTCTCTCACTGCTAAGACAAAATACCTGATGCCCAAACTTAAAGGGAGAAAAGGTTTATTTAGCTCAGTTTGTAGTTCCAGTTCATAGTTGGTTTGCTTCAAAGGCAGGGTGACACATGGTAGATGGGCAATAGTTTATGGTGGCAGAAGGCAGCAAAGGCAATGAACGGGACCTTTTCATGGCAGCCAGATGGTAACAAAGTAACAAGGGAGAGAGGGACAAGCCTCTTTCTGTCCCTTATACTGTATGCATACTACCCACTATAGCATGTGTATAGCATTCATCCCATTAGACCTAGCCAGAACTATGTCAAATCAATCAGTGGACTGATTCACTAATCATACACCCTTAATCCCAGCATCATATAGTCTAGATTCAACCACCTCTGAAAAAGCCCATACTTCATCAGGGTTTGGTGTGGGGGGACAACTGATATAAATCATAAAAGGCATAGATGTTGCTGATTTTCTCTCTTCAGAAGAGCTTTTTCTTGTCTCAAGAGCATTTTATGTCCAATCACTATCATTCAAAAGTCACAGCATTTATACAGTATTGTGTTTAACTTTTGAGGGAAGAGGATAGAGCAGGGGTAAAAAGAGTGTCTCATTGAAATCCGCAAAGTATGTATGAAACTTCTAGTAATATAAGGATGGGGGAGATGGCAGACAAATGAGATACAAGATTCTTTTTTTTCTGATTTCTATAGTCAAACTGTTAACCTGTATATCCTAGCTTATCATATCTAATAAATGTCAGTTACCTTTTCTAGCTGGGTTCTCTATAGGTAAGGCTTATCCTAGACCTCATCATCCTTCTCCTTTCAGGGAATGAAGCTCATCTAGAAAAACAGGGAATTAAAAAGACAGTACAGTTTGAATAATGCAGTTGGCTATGTCTCTCCATCTTCCCCACCCAATGTTCCAGGAAGGGGCTGAGTGCTGCAACTGTCTAGTGAGCTGAAACTCTCTAGTGCACAGTTCTTTCTTTTTGGCGATGATAATCTAGGGGAAAGAAGTAAAAAAAGAAGAAAGAACAGAACAGGTTATTTTGCAGGCCTGGGCTCCTAATTCCCCATTCCCAACTTTATTCCTCATTAGTAACTTAAGAGTCCCTTCATAGGTCCCTGCCAAATAAAAAAGAAAGTGGCACTTACTGTAGGGAAAGAAGCGCACACGCATGCTGATTTCACGGGCTGTCTTCAGGATCTCAACAGCCTGTACAAAACACAGCAGTTTATACAAATGAAGAGATGTAAACCATGGCAGAATCACAAAAGGAGGAATGGAATTTGATACTCCAATCCTCTGGGTCACTAACAGCCACTTCCTTCTGGTGTATTTCTCAAGGAGAGATGCTTTTGTATCAAGTTACAGATTAGGCTAACCATGTCCAACTTGTCTAACCTGTCCTACCTGGAATGGCTTTTTGTATTACTACAGCCCAAGTGCTATGCTCACCTTGCTGTGCTCAATATCTTGGAAATCCACATCATTCACAGCCAGAACTTGGTCTCCTTCTTGAAGTCCTGCTCGATGTGCATCAGAGTCAGGAATCACCTGGATGGAGTAATTTCAGAAGACTGCAGGTGAAATTCAGAGCTATTCAAATGTAAAGTGCTATTGATTTTTTCTGTATCAATGCAGGGAGACAGATAGCTTGTTTGCCAAAGGTGAGAAATTACCATTTATGCCTACTATGAGTCTATCAAGTCGCTATTTTCTGGGCTCTTGGGATACCAGGGTACCGGAATCTGATAACAAAGGGAAGCAAGTGTTTTTATTGCCTACCAGGCATACACACCTTGGAAATGAAGATGCCTAACTGAGAAGCCTTTCCTCCTCGGATGTTAAATCCCAACTGTAAGACAAAAGCACAGAACTGGGGTTCAAGATATACCATAAACACATGCACATTGAGTAGCAGCATTATATAATAGCTCAGGTTGTTTGTTTCTGAGGGAAATGAGAATTTGCAGAAGTGGCGTTTTTCAACCCATCTCATCAAATGGCCAAGTTCTGGTATGGACAAATCTAGCCTGGCATAAGAAGCTCTCTATAAGCTTACCTGAGCTCCAGGAGGCTTCTTCAGTGTGACAATTCGGGGGAGAAACTGGGTCAACTCATTGTTGTAGTCTGGGTGATATAGTCTCTGCAAGGTAGCAACCCCAGAAATTTTACTATCAGCTTTAGATGTCATATTTACCTTCTTCTGGAATATTAATGCATCATCCCCAAATCAGGAAAAGATGAGGTCATAGAATTAATTTAGGTATATTAAGTACCTAAGATTAAGTACAAGAGTAACTGTTTAACATGAGTACATACTAGTAACCCAGCAGCTCCCCACTTTTCACTTTTTAACAAAATGAAATGTAGGGCTCTGTATTTCCAGAATTCACTGGTATAAATGAACTCTCACTGAAGCCTTTCATAAGAAGTATCCAAGATTTCCCTGTTGCTCAAAATTCATCTTCTGGGTCTTTTGGCTTAAACAAGGGTTAAGATTCACTCTCCATTTAACTTTCTAACCATTTCCTCCTATTTGCATCATTTCATGTCCAGGGGAAAAATTTCCTTCTCAGGAATAATGAAGGTCCCACCTCGTGAGGAGGAATCCATGCTGGAGGATTCTCATAGGCAGGCAGGAAAACCACTGGGTAGTCGTCATAAGGAATCCGGCTGTCCATCTTAGGCAAGGTCCTGGAAAGAAAGGGTGAATGAAGAAAGGGAGAGCAGTATACCAAGCTTCAGAAAGCAGTTTCAAACCATCCAAGGCTATCACTCCACATTTAGACGTTAAGACTGAGAGGTGCTAGGCATAATGGTGCACTGTAATCCCACCGCTTTGAGAGGATGAAGCAGAAGAGTCACAAATCAAGAGCTAGCCCGAACAACTCAGTATGACCTTGTCTCAAAAAAAAGGGCAGGTTGGTATGTACCTCAGTGGTAAAGAAGGCCTGGGCACAATCCTCAATATGGGGTAGAAGATGTAGATGAGGACAAAAGAGATGGGAAAAACCTAAATGCACGGATGCAAAGCAACATGCTAGAGTACTACTATAGAAACATGACATAATTTCTCGCAAAAGTCCTGCAGAACAAATGTTACCGTCTTTATTCTAGAAAAGAGGAAACCAGGGTCGTGTTTAAAAATACCAACTTTCGAAGTTTAAGGAAGTGCTAACTCCCGCTATCCAAAATCACCCCACACTCTCTAGAGGTATTAGTAATGATAAGGTCCCTACCACGTCTCTTTCTTCACCACTAAGCCACCTTTAGAGCCTCTTCCCACACCCTACCTGAGTCCCGCGCTCACAACAGGGTAAACACCTCAACACCTCAGCAGCAGTCAGGCCTCAGCAGCTAATAGGCTAGCCGCCAATTCGATTTGGGAACCGGAAACGGATGTAGGCTAGCTTAGACTAGGGGCGGGCAGTGGCAAGGTTGCCCGCCTCTTCCTAATGCGTCATCCCGTACGTGCCGACGCGCGTGCTCCGCCCACAGGCTGTTGGCGCTTGGATTGGTTGGCGCCTCTGGGACTGATTTGAAACTTGGCGGTTAAAGCTCCGTTTGGGACCGGGCTCCTGGAGACCGGGAAAGACCAGGGGAAAGGACGTTTAGTTTGGTGAGTGAATGCGGGCACACCTGAGCTGAGCTTAGCCTTTCCCGTTCCTTGGGGCTTTGGGTTTTTTTGGTCGTAGCTTCTGTTTTTTTTTTTTTCTCTTCATTTCAGACACCACTTTACTCTTGAGAATGTCAGGCTATCCGTAGTGGCCGGATCAGAGAGAGAGAATCTCAGGAGGCAACGATTCCAATGAGGAGGACTCTCCTATCCCTGCTAGTTTAAGAGATACTTTAGCAAACTTCTTCGCCCTTATCTCCGCAGAGACGGTGTTGCAATAGGGTCATGAAGGAAGAGGTGAAAGGAATTCCTGTAAGAGTGGCACTACGTTGTCGCCCTCTGGTCCCCAAAGAGATCAGCGAGGGCTGCCAAATGTGCCTTTCCTTCGTACCCGGAAAGCCTCAGGTTCGTATCAGAGTCCGGGACTTTTTCTCTGAACATCTGGGGCTAGCAGTGAGGGGCGTGGTCTTTTTTCCCCTAACCCCTTGTCACTTACCTTCTGCAGGTGGTGGTCGGTAATGACAAATCCTTCACCTATGATTTTGTGTTTGACCCCTCTGCTGAACAGGAAGAGGTATTCAACACTGCAGTAGCACCGCTCATAAAAGGCATATTTAAAGGTGAGGCAATGAATGTAGTTCTCCGATTTCTTGAGCGTGTACTTCGCGCTGGGTGCAATACTTGGGTTCTGCAAATCCAGGGATGAGTGAAACATCATTCCTGCCTTCGAAGACCCCACAGCTAGCTGGCCATGGTAGCATACTCCTGTAATATCAGCAGGAGGTTCACCCTGGAGTTTGAGGCCAGCCTCGGCTACATAATGAGTTCATGGCCAGCCTGAACTACACAGAGACCCTGTCTCAAAAAACCAAACCAAACCAAAACAACACAAAACCTCTCCCAAGTCCATAGCCTAGTAACAGTTGTGAAACCTAATAAGATATGTGGTAGTCTCTGTAACCTTGAAGCTTGTTTCATACTGTATTTACTTTCTGTGGTTCTGTGTATCTTTGACTTGTACATAGTTTTGATTGTCCTTGAACCTCCTTAGAGTATAAGCTCTTTTGGTGATCAGTATGCTAACCTGCTTGAGTTCTGGGCCTCAGTAGTCATTTTGTATTATATATTCAGAGATAAATAATGCAGCTTTCAAACCATGAAACAGTTCAAAGTTCATGGAGTAGGAAGAGAAACAGGTGATAGATAAATACTTTGGAATACATAAAAGGTTTTTAATTTGTTGCACCTGTCTCAGAAAAAAAAAGCTATTTTAAAAGTTAAAAATACACAATAGAATCGGTCCTGCTATGGAAGTAGCACAGTTTTCTTGCAAAGTGGTATGAAATGCAAAAGGATGACATTAACTGTGTTTGGGAGATTTGGGATGAATTTCACAGAAAAGAAAAACTTTGAGATTGGTCTTGAATGATGAGAATCCTTTTAGGTGGAGAAAGGGATTTCCTACAACCCCTGAATACTATGGCCAGTTAGGATTTAATATTGAATAACAGCAGGGTTCTACAGAAGACAGTAGCCCAAGAGATATCTGATTGTTGTTTTAGTACAGTGGTTATTCAAAATTCAAAATAGGTTCATTTAAAAGAAGTAAAAAAGATGGCATACTAGGGCCTTAATGCTGAAAAATAAGTTTATACCTAATCTGGTATAATTTGGAACTGGATCCTTTTGCTATAAAAAGTGTTATTATAACAGTTGGCAAAACTGGAATGGGATTTGAGGATTAGATGGTAGACGTGGCAATGCAAATTTCATTAGCATGATGTAGTGGGTGTTGTGTTTACAGATTTAGTAGTTACTAGTTAATTAGCAAGTTATGTTATAACAAGTTGAGAATTATAATAAGATGAGGTTAAGGTAAGAATAGCCCATCTATTGTGTGTTTCTTTTTTAAACCTTAACTACGGTTGTAGCTAGGTTTGTCTGCTTTTAATTTCAATCAAAAATGTTAGTTTATAGGACAAATGTAAAATGCTGAAGTAACTAGTAATCTGAATTTTCTAACAAAACAAACTATAAGCATTTTTACTAGAATTAAACTGAAAACTACTAATTACATTGGTGATAAAAGAAAGCATAGCTACTGTTCAATAGTGCATTGCATTTAATATTTTAAAAAACACAAACAAGCAGAAAAAAATCGCTGTGCTGGCAGATAAACATCCAAATGTTTATAATGAATATCTTTTTCATTTTTTCCTATGCATTTACTTACACTATACAGTTTTAACTTGCTTTTTTTCAGTTATTATCATGAATATCTTTAGTAGATAATCAATGCACTATAACAGTTATGGATATAAATCATGTTGAATCATATCGAAATGATGATTTTTCTGTGAGGAGGAGCCAGATAATATAATTTGAGTACATTCTGAGTTCAGATAGATAGTAGTTTTATCTTATTAAAAAACACTATTGCTGCCTTTTCAAATGAAGTTTCTTGATCAAAGAAATACAAACCCAAATCCCTTTGATTTATACAGCTTCTAAGACTTTAATTAAATTCCTTAATTTAGAGTTGCTTAACATAGGGAGACAGAATTATAAATCTCTGAAAGGCTTTTAACTGTGGCTCGATCACTTTCAATGTCTTAGTCATATCTTTAAGTGTTTGACGCCATAGCTTTTCAGGGCAATTGAGAGGGCATAATCTGAGGCTTATATTTTTGCTTATTTTGAGTAGCATGAAGTACTGGCATCCACAGAACTCTTCTTTGTGTCTGCTAGTCCTAAGAAATTCTGTTTTAGCCAGCAGAGTGGTGCGCACCCATGATCCCAGCACTGGGGAGGCTGAGAGAGGAGGATTGTTGTGAGTTGAAGGCCAACCTAAACTACATAGTGAGACCCTGTCTCAAAAAAGAAATTCTGTCTTAAGACTACAGTCTCAATTTTGGTAGAAGTAATTGATGAAGGAAATTGATATATTGATTGAATGAAAATATTTGAGTTTTGCTATGGATGTGACCTCTGTTTTGCTAGGATATAATGCAACTGTCCTGGCCTATGGGCAGACTGGCTCTGGAAAAACTTATTCAATGGGAGGTGCATACACTGCAGAGCAAGAGAACGAACCAACAGTTGGAGTCATTCCCAGGGTAATACAATTGCTCTTCAATGAAATTGATAAAAAGAGTGACTTTGAATTTACTCTGAAAGTATCTTACTTGGAGGTAAGTGAATTCAAAATTATCTTTGGATAGAAAAATAAATCCCTCAGTACTTGCAAGGCTGAGACAGGAGTATTGCTGCAAGTTTGAGGCCAGTCTGGGCTACAAAGTGAGTTCAAGGCCAGCCTAAACTGTGTGGTAAAATCCTGTCTTAAAAAGCCAAAAAAGGCCAGGGATTTAGCTCAGCAGTGTAAGTGCTTGCTTGGCAAATGCAAGGTCGTGAGTTCAGTCCCCGTAAGAACAACAACAAAAAAAGCCAAAAAAAAAAAAATGAAAAATCCAAATCAGATTGTTCATGACATGACTTAGATTAGTAAATTGTATTTTTAGTAAATTACATTTTAATAAATTGATAGAGAAAACTTACAGGCTGAGTTTGATCTGTCTCCCCTCTGTTCTTATTAAAGTAGTCCATTTAGTCAGTTGTTAGAGGAATTTGCACTGCCATATTAAAAATAATAAAAACTTTAATTCTAGTTTGGCCTCAATTACTAATTCACTATAGAGTGTGCAGAAAAGTATTTGAGACTTAAGTTATAATGCACCTGCTTGATGAAGAACAATATAAAAATCAGATGAAATACTAAGCTGTTTAAGTGGCAAAAAGAAAGTGTCTGTTCAGCAGATATTCTTTGAGCACCTACTATGTACCAGATACTGTTTTAGGTACTTGGATATATCAAGTACTTGGAAGATAACAGTAGACAAAACAGATTAAAAACGCCTGCCCCTATAGGAGTTTGCATTTCAGTATATATCAATATACAATTAGATTTGCCAATTGTGTCTAACCACATGACACCAAAAAGACATTTAAGTATGCAATTATAAATTATATGTGAATACTTTATCTTAAAATTGATTATCAGTATGTTAAGAGGTATAGGAGATACAGAGTTAGAAGAGAGGCAGTTAAATATCTCTAGGATTACCTTTCTTGAGTTTAGATTAAGCCAATTATGACCAAGATAACTAAAGATAAAAATAACTTGGATGCTTAGCACATTAAACGGTGGGATCAGCAAAAATATCAAATAATAGTGCTTACTATTTGCTAAACTTTGTTTTAAGTACTTAAAATTTTGCTTGTTGTTGAAATACTAATTGTTCCTTTCTTTTTCTTCCCTTGCTCTCTATTTCCATCCTTTCCTCTCCACGGACCCACTGTTTACATTTTAACAAAATGTGTGAAGTTGATTCTGTTATGAAACCATCAAAGAACTGAATTTTGGCATTCATGTATTTTACATTTGTCTGCCATTCCTGAGAGATTGTATTAGGAGGACAGCCTCAGTTTTGGGAATGTAGTTCAGTGGTAGAGCGCTTACCTGTCATGTGTGGGTTCTGGGTTCCATCCCTAGCACACAAAAAGTTGGGTGAGGAGAAGTAGAGGGTATGCTTTCAATTTTCTTAGAAGTAAACTTGTTACTTCATTTTTATAAAATATAGAATGGTTATTTATAAGGTTAAATTCCATTTTTTTTGTGATGCTGGGTGTTGAACCCAGGTCCTCATGCATGCTAGCCAAGTGACCTACTACTGAGCTACATCTTTAGCCTCTCAAAGTCCTTTACTTAGTTCTAAAATATAATGCATGCTTATTGTAAGCAAAATTTTAAATATAGAAAATTACAGTGTATATTAAAAGTTA